GCCCCCCTACTCACCATCGAGGCTCTCAGCAAAGTGCCTTTATTTGTGTCACAGGTGGTTGAAAATGCGAACACCCAGACAGGTAACGTGGCCAGCACGTTACAGGTTATAAAGCCATAAAGACACTCTTCAAACAAACAGGGCTCTGTTTTGATTTGGGGCTCGTTAAATATCACAACAGGTTTCACCTGGAGCTGGTTAAAAACCGTTACAGCTCTGCAGGATCCACCAGCTGGGGCCTCCTTTGCCTTAATTAAGCCTGTGTGAGTACAGGGCATGGGCTGAGTGAGTGCAGGTGTGGGGGTCACCTGGGCAATGGACAGCACTTGGAAGAAGTGGGATATTGCTGCTGTTGTTGGAATCCCAATCCCCTTCTGTGCTGTAGCAGCAGGCTGAGTGGGACCTCACACCACCAAGCACCACCTGCTCAGGGATGTCTCTGAGCTCAGAGACACTGCTAGACGAAATTCTGGGGTGCCTGTGACAGTGGGTGTAAGGCTGCTGAGAGGGAGAAAGAAACATCCTGGCTTATAGGGAAAGGGTGAGGGGGCTGGAGCCAAAGGGAACATGGGGCAGTGCTGGGAGTGGGAGAAGGAAAAGGAGGGCAGCCACAGAAGGCAGTGACCTCAACCCCCCCAGAGTTACAAAACCCCCCAAAGCTGCAAGAGATGGATGTGGAAACCACACTGACTGGTGAATGTTACCCTAATAACAAACAGCACACATTGCCCAGCTCTAACACAGTCCATTTAAAGTAAAAAAGAGATTTAAAGTACACTTGTTGAAGCAACTGGCTGCTCCTCTGCTCCCTCTCCGGTCAGTCTCTGTTTTCGTGATGCCAGGGAGGATCTCAGGGGAGGAAAAACAGGGCAACACAAAGGCACGTTGTGATTTTTAAGGTGCAAGAGTGCATCTGCTCAAACACTTCCAAATCCTCGCTCAGTCAGACATCTTGGTGCTTTGTTCAAATCTTTTGGCATTTTTTCATCTCCAGAGCAACTTTCTTCACATTCCGCGGGTGTGAAGGTGAAGTTCCTCGTTCGTGGGGCAAGTTCCTCCTGCTTTGCTTTGCTGAAGGGAATTCACAACTCGTGCAGTGTCACCCTCTTTCCTTGCCAGACTTTCAGGTGGAGCAGAGGTACCACACTCACAGCGTGGGGCGTCTGTAATTTGCCTTTGTTCTAACGACCCAAATTACAAGCTTTCACCATCTGCTTTGGAAGTACCTAAGAAGAAAGGTTATAAGAAAAACAAACATTCATTACTCAGGGTTATTGCTGAAAACAAAAATAATGGAGGCAACTGCTGACCTCAGAAAGCGAGCGGGTAAAAGTTACCCTGAAATGTTTAAGCAAAGCCAGCAAATATGGAAACAGCTCCAGTCTTCCTGCAGCAATTTTTAAACAATAGAGATTAAATGAGTAAAAAAGCAGCATTCAAAACTGGCAAAAGGAAATTAATTCATTCCTCTTTATCCACAAAGCAGGAATGCCATGGGAAGCAGCGACAACAGCTTTCCTACAAATGATCCTCAACACTAGGGAGGAGAAATCTCTTGTACATTTAAGAGGCAGCTTCTCTCCACTGCCTGTTCAGCTGTGAGTCTCTCCTGAAGGATCCCCAACAGCAAAGTGTTACTGTGGCCTCAGCTCTTTCAGCTTATGGCCCCCATGGCCTGTTGACTGGAATAGCAGTGAAATACCTGAGGAAAACTGTCTTAGAAAGTCCCCAATAACACCAAGACACTAATTAGAGATGGATACCTGCATTGTATACACCAATTAGACCTTTAGTCTTCTAATGGACTGGTTTCTTTTTCTTCTCTCATCTTCAGGCTCTCCTTTTCTTTACTGTTATTAAAAGAAAGGGGGGAAAAAAAGAAAAAAAGCCCAACTGAGTGTCAGATACCCTGAGCAGCAGGACCTGAGTCACACATGGCACAGATAAGGGGTCACATGGTGAGATGGGTGTGTTACACGTATGGTGACCACAGTGCCAGGCCCAGGGGACGGGGATCACCTGCCAAATACCACCACAGGAATGAGGAGCCACTGTGAAGGGCAAGAGCCAAGGGAGGACTGCAAAGCTGGTTCATCCTGGGGCTCTGCTCTGCCTGCAAACACGCAGCCAATTGCTGCTAATTGTGTTGGCAGCTTTGCATTGTAGATGCCCAGTGCAGGGGCCAAGCCAGTAATTCCATTTGACAAGCTTTCCCAGGAGCCCTTCCCTCCCTCCTCTGTCCTTACAGTTCAGTGTCTGACGCCCCAGTCCTCTTCTCCTGCGCTTTCTGGCGTCGCTGTCGACAGATAATCACAGCTAACACCACCACGATCATCAGGACAGAAGCAGATCCGATGGCCACGGCCAGGAAATGGATTTCTGAGAAACTCACTGCGTGGAGAGAGACAGGGACGTGAACCAGAGGGTAACCACCCTCGTGCTTTACACTTACAACCCTTTTTTCTACCACAGTTTTCCCAAACTGGGAAACTGGGAACTGGTGAAGTTCACAAGACCTCTGGGGGTGGTTCTTGGCCTCTCACCTTTCTGCACGACCCGGAGTCGCACTTCCCCGATGGAGCCATAAACATCTGGCCAGTTGGTCACCTGGCAGGTGAAGGTGCCGTTGTCGGTGGGCTGCAGGTTCCAGATGATGATGGACACGTCCTTACGCTCCACGTTCCCATCCCAGGTGACCCGGTCCTTGAACCGCCCCGAGGTCGGCTTGTAGGGCTCCTTCAGGTAGTAAAACACCTGCAGGGATCACAGACACACAGAATGGCCTGGGCTGGGGGGCACCCTGGAGATTCCTGTGCCCTGCAAGTCCTGCCGGGCGCAGGGTGTCAGCTAAGACAGGGCTGAGGTGTCGGCAGGCACAAATAGTTTATCAGGCCACAAACAGTTCAAACCTGATCACCCAAAACTGAGCATGAGAACGTTCTTCAGCCAGGGTCTATAAACTGACCTCACTGCTCAGGTTAGTCGTGACAGGTGACAGAGGAAAGGCCCCAGTGCCCAGAGCTGGGGGTCTCGGGTGTGGGTGCCCATCCCCACTGGGCTCACCCAGTGCTGGGCCTTGGGACTGGTTTGTTGGGGTAAACCAGTCTGAAATGGAGAGTAAAGATCTCAACTCACGGGCTCGTGGGAGCTCAGGTCCTCGGGCTGGAAGTTCCAGGTCACTGAGAGCTGGGGGCTGACGGGGCTGCTGCTGGAGAAGGTGCATTTGAGCCGCTGGTTTGTGCCGTTCACAGCAACCACCTCCTCCGAGGTGTAAACTTCCACTGCTGCTGCCAGCCAAAGTGCTGCGGGGGAAACAGAGGGGTGAGAGGCCATAATCACTGCCGAGGTGTGAACTCATCACTGCTCCTTATCAGTGTGTAGTCTGAGCCTTATCTAGCCCTGGGAATAATTGTCTGGGGCACAGAGATAATTCCTCAATGGGTGATCCTGTAGATTTCTTGGAAAAATCAGTCCTGCCATTAAAATTCGACTGCTGAGACCCAATAAACAACTGCTATTTCCCATGCTAGAACTTTCTTTATACACTTTGTACTCTCAGCACGGTGAAAACTGCTCTTACTGATGGAGGAAGGGCCTGTTAGAGGGTTAACAGCCCAGCTGGACAACTGTGGTCAAATACAGTCAGGCTGAAGAACTCTAGAGGAAATGCTCAAGGTAAATGTGGCAAAGAAACATCCTCTGTTAACCAAACCACCACAGCTGCTGCTTCAAAAATAAGTGTGCCAGCAAGGCACAGAAAGGAGGAAAATGAAAAAAAAGAAAACCAAAGGAGTTCTGGTGAAAAAGAAAAAAATTATTAATCATTTCCTGTCACTTTAGGAAGTTAACTTGCCCCTGTATGATCCAAGCCAAAAAAGCTTATCTAAGGTTGTAAAATCTGGCTTTATAATAAAGACGTATTTGAAAGTAATTTATAACCAAAGACTTCCTTCCAAATAATCTCTTATCTCAAAGGGGAAAATATTTTGAAAACATTAAAGGTATTCGCATTTGAAAAGCTTCACTGGCAGAGATCATGTTTCTCATCCGAAGATTCAGTGCCAAATCTTTTAAACTCCTTTAGAAAAGAAAAACTGTGGGAAATAAGTCTAAAGCACTTTTTTTTCAAGACAGATTACATCCGTGAGCCGATGCATTTGGGAAAGGAGGACGTGCTATTCTTAAAATCCAGCGTTCTGATATAAACCGCTGAAAATTCAAGCGAGTTCATTGTCAGTCTGGAATTGTTGCTGTGTAAAGGATCCGAACCCGGGGCTCCTGAACAATCTCTGATTGTTTAGGAACAAAGGTAGCAAAAAAAAAAAGTCTTGGACTAAAGTTCAGATTCCCTGTCAGGAGAGAAAAAGAAAGACGTGTGTAACCCGAGCTCAGGAGGAGCTCGAACACGCCTAAACCTGTCCGAGAAGAGACTCAACCACGTCTGTCACTGCCAGCGAACCCCGGACAGAAAGAACCGCAGCACAAGGACGGGAACAAAGTCTCTGCCTTCTAATGCAAGGGATGGGAAGAGGAGAGGCAGGATGGCAGCGAGGCCAGGCAGGGCAGGTTTCCTTTCCTTACCTGGGAGCTGCGCCCCGAGGACGAGCACAGCACCCGCCCAGGCGCGGCCGCGCATCGGGGACACCCGGCCGTGCTCCCGTGCCAAGAGACAGTCCCTTCTGCTTCTCGAAAACTGGGTGCAGGATGAGTTTCTCAAAGTCTTCCCAGCTCAGCAAGGCCAATTCCTTCCTCCCAGCTTGGCCTGCAAGGCCAAGAGTGCTCTCAGTGCTCTCAGTGCTGGAGTCAGCACTGCCCGCCCGGGCACCGTGGGAAGGTGTGGCAGCACCAGGTACTTCTGGGTGTAAAACAGGGAGATTCTCAGGGTAAGATTAATTTCTTCTCCCTCCCATATTCCTTTGCTCTTTTGTGTTGCAACCTTTCCTCCTCCCAGCTTCCACCTGAAACCACTCCCCTCTTGTGGGAGGTAGCTGTGCTCCTAAAAGAAAATTTGCCCGAAGGTGTTTGTAGATGGCTCAAAGGAATCAGGGCCGTTTGTTTGGCAGAAAAACCCAAACCTGAAAAGAGTCCAAAAAGAGCAACCCGAACCAGCAGTGTGGGCACAAATCCAGAGGATGGAAGTGTCCCACAGATACCTACAGTACAGCACAGAGACTCTTGTGCCTGCTAACATGCCTCTGCTAATGGCTCTGAGACACCAGGTATCTCTATTTTCACGGGAATAGTTTGGCCCTGTATTAACCCTTCATCACTGCATCTCCCCAGATTTCCATTCAGTTGCCATTCCAAAACATCATCTCCTTCTCTTTCATTGCCACCCTGGACAAATATCAGGCTGGGGGGTTGTTCTGGTTGTGTTTAAAGCACTGCAAGGCAGCTCCTTAGCAGCCAATTTGCATTCACATCCTATTTCTGCACAGGACTGGGGAGAGGGTCTGCTCCCATCTTTGCTTGCAGACTTTTAATAATCTTGATCTTGTTTCAAACGTGTCCCTCTCACACTCACTAGCAACCTAAATTATCTGATGTTTCATTTTGAAACTGAAATAACTAAAAGAAAGCTCTGACAGCCAAAGAGAGCACCCCAGTAAATGAAACAGGGCCCACGACACTGGGATTAGCCATGTCAGTAAATGGTGAATTCCTGGGAAGGGGTGAGGAGCCAGCTCCATCCTCCAGGCATCTGGGAAGGAGTCCCTCGAGGTGTGTGCCAGCTGCAGAACGCGGAGAGCCCTGTGGAAGGAGAGAGATCTGGGTGACTTGGAATGTCTGCCCTGGACCTGTGCCCCCAAATCCCCACGATTCTCACCACACTGGAGCAGCTCTGCCTCCTCTGTGGGCTTGGAGCAGAGGGAGCTGGGCAGGCAGCGTGTTCCCGCTGTGTCCATGCCAGCATCCCTGCTGGAAAGGGAAATTCCTTCGGGTTCTCGGGAACGAGATGAAAGATGAGTTTCTCAAAATCTTCCCAGCGCAGCAGAGGAGCTCTGAGATCCCCCTGCCCCGGTGCCATGGGCGGTCTGTGCCTGCCCCCAGCCCGGGTCTGGAGGGATCGTCCCCTCCTTGCAGTCCTGGCCGGGGCAGGAGCCCCCTCTAGTGGGGCCCGGCCACTTCCACGCGGAAAGAGAGGAGGTTCAGATTAGATATTAGGAAGAGATTCCTCCCTGTGAGGGTGGGGAGGCCCTGGCACAGGTTGCCCAGAGAAGCTGTGTCTGTCCCATCCTGGAAGTGCCCAAGGCCAGATTGGACGGGGCTTGGAGCAACCTGGGCTGGTGGAAGGTGTCCCTGCCCATGGCAGGGGTGGGACTGGACGGTCTTTACAGTCCCTTCCAACCCAAACCATTCCATGGTTCTTTGTGAAGTTGTTTGCAGCAGCCTGAACTGCAGAGACACTCCCAAAAGCTGCCAGGAAGGTCCTGATGGCAAATCTAATCCCGGCTCGTTCCTCCTGCTGCTCCCAGAGCAGCTCCAAGAGCTGTCCTGGGGCTTGGCCAGGCTGGTGCAGAGCAGCCAGCCCTCGCTGGCAGTGACGTCCTGTGCAGACCTTTTGAGCCTCTGCACTTCCTGACCTGGGCTCATTTCCCCACACGTGTCCCGGGGCTGCCTCGGCTGCTCTCTCGTGTCCCTGGGAACGGGGAGTCCCCCCAGCACTGCTGGGGACAATTCTGGGAAAGGATCCTGGGCCCCTTTCCTGTAAGAGGGCCGTGAAGAGCCTCCGTGCCCTGTCGTGCCCCGCAGCGATGCCCGTGTGATGTGGTAGAGAAGAGCAAGACAAGGAGGGACACAAGGATGAGGTTGGAGCCGTCCTGGCCTCTGCTGGGGCTCCTGCTCTGGGCAGGTGAGTCTCCAAACTTCAGGCAGCAGGGTTGGATCTCCAAACTCCAGGCACCAGGGTTGGAGCTTCGTGCAGTGCGATCTCTGAGGTTCTGTTGTCTTAGTTTCATTTTTATGCTTTATCCACTTCGTGCACTTTTCTTAAACCAATTTGTGATCATGGGTAACTACTTCAGTTCAGACTTGGTGGGATATCCATTTGTGGTAGGAATTTCCACCTTACCAGTTTGAGTGGAGCAGCTGCTTTAGGATGAAGTGCAGAGGATCTGTAAAGATTCTAAAAAAAGCCGGTAACAATGAGATGAGTTTGGAAGATAATTACTTAAGACATACTACAATAAAACTACAACTACTCTGACAATGTGCTGCAAATACCAACTGCTAACCTTTGAGAAGGTAGAAAACATCTGGTTTAGCAATGGCCTGTTCTTTTTTCAAACTTAAATTCACCTATATAAAAAAAAAGCATCAGATCACCTTCTTTCCAGCCAAGTCCTTTGTCTGTGGCATTTCAAATCTATGATTATTTATTTACCTTACTTTCTATTGACAAACGTCTTTAAAGGAAATCACAAGTCTGATCCACACCTCCTAAAAACGGTTTCTTTAATATTCCAGCTCCAGAGACTCCCTTGGAGCTGATTGTTTCCTACAGGACAGAAAAATCACCTAAATAAACTGGTTTACAGTGTTAAATCAAGGGGCAGGGTCCCACCCTCCAGTGAGTTCACAAGGTTCTTACTGCAGAAACCAGGGAGGATTTTCCAGCAGTCTTTGCTCCATGATAATAAGGCACAGTTTGGGGTGTACAGCTTGCAATAGGAACCCTTTTTCTAAACTGGGTCGGAAAATGATTCAAGTTTCCATTCTGTGTTAGTCTGTGTTAAAAATGGCTTCCAAGGGAAAAGCTTAATTTCAAAACAACATCCTGTGCCACAAACAAAATATTTCTGCTGCCTTTAGCACGAATACAGGATCATAAACATCTCTTTCAAGCAGCTGAGCTCAGAAAGGATACCCTGGAAGTAGGAAAGGTGTATGATCTCAGTAGCTAAACTCAACTACTTAACACTTCTTATTCTTTCTTTTGTAGTTGGCACCACAGCTCAGCAGGGTAACTGTATTTTACCATTGTTCTTAACTACTTAGTGTGATCAAAAGACCAAATACGCCTCACAAGGGAGGACTGAAAGTCAAATAGAAACATTTGAATTTCGAAAACATCGTAGAATGGGAAAAATTTGCTGTTCATTAACTGATAGTGATCTCGCTGATGGAAAAATTGGCTGTCATAAATTGCCCTTAATTATTACCAGTGGTTCCCAAGCAGGGCTGGGTTTTTCCAACAGCAACAAGCAGCTGATTTTTTAACACTCCTTATTCTCTTTGCAGGTGTAGCACAGGAGGGTAAATGAATTTTACCAACATTCTTAACTATATGATATGAAGTCTGCAGAAGCCTCACGGCTGAGGACTAAAAACCAGATTGGAATATTTGAGTTTTCCCCTTGGTTTCCTTTCTCGTAGGCCTGTCTGCCAGTGAAGAATTCCTGGTGGAGATTTCGGGCACCACGGTGACAATCACATGTCCCTTGGCCGAGGATGACGTAGTGTGGAAGTCAACTGGGGGAAAAGCAGGCACCAGCAACGAGAGGAAGTACATTATAACGGACCACGACAGCTCTCCTGCCAACCTGAGCTGTTCTTCTGACTCCAGTGGGACGAGGCATGAGCTGTACCTGAATGCCAGAGGTGAGAGAAACTCCCTCAGTCCACGGGCTAAAGCCTGCATGGCTCAGATTAAATACTTAAAAGCAACTCAAATGGCACCAGACACCTGCATTTAGACAAGCAAATCTGCTGGTTCCACTGTATATTTGAGTCTCCTGGACCACTGCTTCCCTAAGGGAAGTTCCCCATCAGCAGGCTGGGAGGGAAAGGCACTGCCCAGCAGTTTGTGCTGGGAATCGTGCTGCTCTTTAAAACAAAGAGAGAAAACGTGCCAACAAATTAAAAACTGAGCACAAACAGCGAGGAAAAATAAACACCGAGTGGAAGAGATTACCTGAAAATGTAGTAAATTCTTCAGCACTTGGTGCTTTTACGGGAAGACTCCTCTTCCTTCTGACACACTGAGGGTGAACGTGGTGTTGCTGAGACCCTTCCTCATCTGTGATGGTCTGAGAGCCCATTTTTGGCAAAAGGAATCTCCCCTATCCTTTCTGCTTGCTCTTTTCTCCTTGCCACCCAGAGCTGTGTCTCTCTGCCAGCACCCAGCAGATGAGGGGGGCCTGGGCTTTTCCTGCAGGGAGGGAAGGCAGCCCAGCTCTGAGCACCTCCATCTCTCCTCCTGGCAGTGTGTGCCAACTGCGAGGAGCTGGATGCCCTGACGGTCACAGGGATCATTGCTGCGGATCTCCTCATCACCCTGGGGGTGCTGATCCTGGTCTACTACTTCAGCAAAGACAGGAAGGGGCGAGCAAGCCCCAGTCCTGCCCCTCGGCCACGAGGTAAGAGCCATTTCAGGCATCTCTGCTCTCCGTGGTGGCCACGGGGCACTACATAAAGATCCCACTGTGGGAGGGAGCATCCTCTGCTCTCCCTGAGCTTCCAAGACCTCACCAAACAACCTCCTGCTTCCCACACCTGCCTTTGTGCATGGGATGGGAACAGCTGCTTTGCCAAACCTCCTGCCTGTAAGAACCTGTTTCCCTGCTGTGCTGGAGCCAACCCTGCATGGCAGATGCTCCTGGCAGCAGCTGGCTCTTTGAAAGCTCTAAGCTCATAATAAAGCCATGCAAGTTGACCTGTGGGTTCATGGCATTGCCCTGGGATCATCGTGGAAGTCCCTTGTGCTGTGTTACCTGAATCATCCCGGGGATCACCTCTCTGTGCCTCTGTTGCAGGTCAGAAGATGCAGCGTCCTCCCCCCGTTCCCAACCCGGACTATGAGGTATGGAGTGTTTTCCATCTCTCTGCTGGCTGGGGAGGGAGAGCAAAGTCTGAGAATTGGTAGCATTTATCCTTTGACAAAGCATCCAGTCAAGCTCCAAGCTCCCACAGGAATGGAGGAAAAAAAGGTGTTGAGGGTGGAGCGCCTTCTGATGCTGCCACAGGGATTTGGGAGCAGAAGTGCAGCTCCCTGTGCTCTGCACATATCACACAGCAGTGCTGCACCTGCTCTGCTGTGCTTTTCCCAGTGTGTTGTGTGGACTAAGATAAGGATTCCCAAACTAACATCTTTCTCCATCCCACAGCCCATCCGGAAAGGCCAGCGGGAAGTGTATGCTGGCCTGGAATCCAGGGGGTTCTGAGATTCCCAGGATGACAGGCTGGAAGCCATGGAAACCAGCAGCACAAGGGCTAAACGCTGCTGCCCAGCTCAGTGCCAGCTCTGCAGCTCTGCTGAGGCATTTTGGGGTCAGCCAGGTCAGGCACCCGCTGTCCCACCCTGGGGTGTGCTTTGGTTTGACACCAGGGAACAGAAACGTGCATTGGCAAGAGAAGTTTTCCTCCCCATTAAAGGACTGCAGCCTCACTCTTGGTTCCTGGCCTCCTTTTCCCTCACTCTCCTTTCTGCTCCAGTTGCATGCTCTGGTTGTCTCTCCCCTTTAATTTCTGCCCTGAGTGCCTCCCTGGGCAGGGAGCGGGTCCTTCAGAGTGGTTGGCCTCTGACCTTGTCTAGGTCTCATGTTCACAGCCTTATCTTCATTTGCTGCCTGGGACTGTAGCAAAAGGAGCAGAGGCATCAGTACATTAAAACCAAAGTGGCCCAGCAGCAGTGGGACAGGTTAAGAAGGGCCCGAGAGATGCTGTGGTGCCTGGCAACGTTTCTGGGCTGACACCAGAGCCACCCACGGTGCTGTTACTGAGCAGAGCAGCAGCTCTGAGGAAAGGAAACAGCAGCAGTGCTGGGGGCTGGGGGTGGTTTAACCCTTGAGTTTCAGTGTGGGGAGATAAACACCCAGCAAGCCCCGTGAGCAGGGCGCTGTGCTCAGCCCCAGGATGCGGTTTGAGAGGCACAGCTGGGGTTACCATACAAGGCTGTGAGCAGCGAGCAGGGAGATGGAGAGATACGAGGAGCACTAACCCCCTGCAGCTCTGAAACCACTCTGGGCCATGTTCTCACCTCCTGCAAAACAGCACTGCTCCAGGGGTGCCTCCTCAGCCCAGCCATGCAGCCCATTCCTCGGGTGGGATGGGAGAAGCCTGGACCACTCTGGGCATACAAGGTCTAAATTTTTGCTTCAGGCTCCACCCCAGTGCTTCTGCCACTGTTTGTGGGGTGCATAAATGTACAGGTTTGCCCTGTGTTTGCCCCAGCCAGTGCCATCCCAAACACTCCTTATCTCAGTGGGATCAGCACCCACCCAGTGGCAGCATCTCTCTGCCTCTGTGCTTACCTGCACTAGAGAAATATTTCTTTGTCCTTCCCAGGGTGAGGTGCTGAGGAGCCTCTCACAGTCTGGCTCTTGGATTTGTGCTTGTCCTGCTCCTTGGGTGAGGTTAGCCATCTTTGCCCATTGCTTTGAGACCTGATGGTGATGAAAGAGCTACAAACTAGGCAGTCTGCTGGTCACTTTTTTAATGAAGTCCTACCCAGATGGCTTTGCAGGTAAAAGGCAGGTTTTGGCATATTCTACCTGCAATGGCCACATTGAGCTGACCCTTCACTGGAGCAGAAAAACCACTAAGACATTATTCTGCTCCTCTGAAGAGCAAAATGTTGCTGTGTAAGGATCCAACACTGTAGGAAAACAGGTCCTTTCCTTGCTCACTGCCCACAGGGCTGATCACACCCTGATCCCTGTACGGGCACCTGTGGGGCACCCACGGCCCTGCACAGACAAAGTGTTGTTTACTGGGTCACACATGTCACAGATTTGTGGCCAATTTTTACTGAGTGTTACCTCTTTTCTTCCTTTATACCCCTGAACACTGGATTGCCTGAGTCACAGGGCACTTCTCAGTCGGGTCCTCCCTAAAGCCTGGCACCCAGATTCTGAGAAAAGCAGGAAAACAACCCACAGGTGTGTGCAACTGGCACAGGAGGGGTGACCTGGTTTCTGAGGTTTCCAACTGCTGGCTGATCCTGGCTGGTGTCTGCTCCCATTTTGACCATACTCAGACCACACTGGCTGTTCCTGCTCAGAGCTGGGGAGCACCAGTGTGCACCTTCCCAGACACCAGATCCCACCCAGTGTGTACCTTCCCAAGGACCAGATCCCATCCAGTGTGCACCTTCCCAGACACCAGATCCCACCCAGTGTGCACCTTCCCAAGGACCAGATCCCATCCAGTGTGCACCTTCCCAGACACCAGATCCCATCCAGTGTGCACCTTCCCAGTGATCAGACCCCATCCAATGTGCACCTTCCCAGACACCAGATCCCATCCAATGTGCACCTTCCCAGACACCAGATCCCATCCAATGTGCACCTTCCCAGACACCAGATCCCATCCAATGTGCACCTTCCAAGACAGCAGATCCCATCCAATGTGCACCTTCCCCAGGGCCCTCGACAGAAGGGACAGAGCAGGGAGGCTGTGGGACAGGCTCATCTTTAATGAGAGGGATACAGAAGTGCAGGAGGCCATGGAAAGAGCACAGTGCTGCAAGTAGCCCAGCCTGGCATGGAGCAGGAGGGATGTCCAGGCAAAGCCTGTGTGCTGATGGAGTCACAGGCTCCAGAGTGTCCCCACCTCACTTGCGGGCCCGGGCGGGTGCCAGCCGGCTGTACTGCTCATCCTCCCGCTCTCCGAGGGGCTGGAGGGGAAAAACGGGGGAGATGAGCTCCAAGAATGTCTGTCCAGCCCTGGGAGGGGCAGTTGGCCCAGCCCTCTCTTTGCCAAGCCTTTTCCAAGCGTCCCTCCCCGCACACAGAGCTTAACACACACAGTAAGAGACGGGGTAGCTGTGTTTGCCTCGTCCTCTGGGTCATCTGGGGAGAGGCAGCTGCCCCATCAGAGAGCAATATCCACCTCTGGGCATCGATTATCCCCCAGCAGACGTGTCCCCACACTGCAGAGGTGCTGAAGGTCCCCCCATACACACACAGGTGTGCCCCCACACTCACCTGGTAGAGCTGGTCGTTGGCAATCAGGTTCTGCCTGTCAGAGGCTAAATGGAGACAGAAGGCGGTCAGGGATCAGGGCAGCCACGGGCAGCGTGGTGCCTTTCAAAGCAAACCCATCTGCAGCCCCTGGGGGTGCCCAGGCCCTGTCCCCCCTCACCTCGGGACGTGTGTCCCCTGTCGTGGCCGGTGACACAGTACACGGCCACTGCCAGCAGCGCCGTGGCCACGACGTCCGCGACCACGATCCCCGAGACGGTGGCAGCGTCCACCTCGATGCAGTTCTGGCACACTGGAAGCACAAAGGGACAGGGACAGGCTCCAGTCCCAGGCCAAGAGGGACCTGGGATTGAGTTTGGCTCCTTGTGTGACCCGGGGCAGTGGCACGAGCTGCCGTGTGTCCCCCGGCATGCAGCGCAGGGCCAGAGAGAGGCCAGCAGTGCATCAGTCACAGCACTAACTGGGGCTGTGGGGCTCTCATGGGGACACCACAAACAGGGGAACCTGCAGCAAACTGGGGGAGCCACCCACAGACTCTGGGAAACCGGCAGTTCCCTCAAAAATTTTCTGGGGTGAAAACTCCAGGCAGTTCTGGCTCTAGAAAGCAGGGGTGCAGCACCTACTTCGATAGTGCACCTGGAGCTTCCCCTCTGCTGCCTCTCCTGCTCGACACGTGTAGAGGCCTCTGGGATCGTCGTAAACTGTGCTCAGCTCCAGCTGAGTTTCGTTTCCAAGCTCGTTCCCGTCTTTCCACCACGTAACTTTACTTTGTCCACTTGTGCATTCCAAGAACACCTTCCCACTGACTTCTTTCACAATTATTTTAGGTCCTGTACAAAAAAAAAAAAAAAAAAATAGAGAGCAGAGTTCACTGCTGAGTTATCAACCCTCACAGTGGTGCAGAACTCAGAGCTCCTTCGTGGAGATGCTCAGGCTGTCCCTGAGCAGCAGAAAGGCCACCACAAACAAAAACCTCTGGACAAAGCAGACTGTGTCGTTGCAAGACAGGGTTATCACAGACAGTAACACGGGTAGCTCCAGGCTGTCACAGCAATGGTCTAGGGCAGGCAGAGCTGGCAGTGATCCCATCCTCACTGCACCGATTCCCTTTTCCCCATGGACATTTGGAACCTCACATCCAGGTGGAAAGCCCCACCAAGCTGTGAGGCTCCTTCCCAGCACCCTCCCAGCACCCCAGACACCCTGGAGCATCTCCAGGGACCACGGCGAGTGCCCAACTGCCCCGAGCCCCAGTGACTCACCTTGGTTACCCCAGCTGGGCACAGCCAGGCTGGCCAGCACTGCCCAGACACCCAGGGCCCTTCCCCTCCACATGGCACAGAGGTGGTGGTTCCGTCCCCTGTTCAGAGAGCTCCTCACCACAACTGCACCACTGGCCCCAGATCTGCGTCAGGTGCCGGATGCCGGGGGCTGGAGCCTCCCTCCCCCTGCAGCTGGGGATGGCTGAGGTGCTCTGAGCCTGCCTCCTCACCCCAGCCCGGCCTGGCA